TTCTAAGACAAAAAGCTTTTAATTGAAAGCAGTTGTGAATAAAACCCATTCTGATCCCTGAATTCTGGCGAGCATGAGGCAAGTGATGATTTCAGCTGACCAGTCTTCATGAACTATTCTAATTTTGATGAAACTGGGCTGCTATGAACTGAAACTGCATCAACTATCAAATGTAATTGTCAGAGTTCAAATGTTATATTATCTCTGTTATACGTGACCTCGGTGTGTGGGTCCAGTCATCATTTTGTGTTTTTATGTTAGCATCTTTAACCTGCTTTCTCACTTCTCTGATTTGTTCTCACTGCTGAACAAATCAGAGAAGGCGGAGCTTGGTGTGTAACAGCTGGTGTCAGGGTCTATTTCTCCCTCGATCTGCACCTGCGTACCTATTTTATATTTCTGTTGCATTTAAAGCTTCATTTAGGTTGAGTTGGGATTTAGCGGCACTGTTTTGGTTTTAACGTAGTTTACCAGAACTAGTTTCAGGGACAAGCCTGAATCAGACAGCCCATCATGTGTTGGTTCATGCTCTTCTTCCTCTGTTTCTTTTAGCTGGACTCTCATCTCTTTTTCGCTTGTTAAGGGCAGCAGCGTTGTGCCATCTTGTATGCTGGATTTCTTTAAACCATAAATTTAGGAACCATAACAATCTCTATTTGACCTTTAACCTCGGATCTGACCTGAAGGAAACCTGCAATGCCAGAAAATAAAGTTAGATTTCTTTAAACCATATTAAAATATCCCACACAAAGTATTTTTCATATTCTATCACACGACTGATGCTTTTCCTCTTTTTGTGCCTTTTTTTTACCTTTACTGTTACAAAAAAGTTAACAGACATCCATACAGAGAAAATGTGTCAAAGGGCACTGACACAGCAAAACGACACGGCAAGTAGAGCAGATTAAGTTAGACTGAAGATCGTAGGGTTATGTACAGGAATACCTGTGTGTATGAGAAACAATATAGACTGAGAAGAGGAAAAAAACACCATCCAGATTAATCACATGGCCAGTGTGGGAAACAGACTCTAAGGCAGGCAGCACTCGGAGACGCAGGAACCAAAAGTGACAAAGCTTTATTTAGAGTGGGGGTGGAAACACCGGTCCTGTGGGAAGGCCCAGCAGCACTCACCTGGACCATGACATCAGGTAAGTGAAACCACAGCGGTGAGTGGTATAAGAGGATGTGATGATTGTGGTGG